AGACCCGAGACCCGACCCAAACCCGTCGGTTCTCGATTCGGGTACCCGTTCGGGTATTTAATTTATGAAGAACCGCTCGGTTCGGTTCGGGTCCGGTTCGGTTCGGGACTTTTGGACACCCCTAGATACTCTATCGCAGATGCAACATCTATCATTATTTCCAATCTCTGAGCTAAATTTAGGAAATAGTTGCTTGAAGACAGCCATTTGGTAAGGTTTCCACTGGGCATATATTCCATCACCAAGGCTTTAAGATCAAGGTTAGAGCAGCTACTAATTACCAGATCCAGATTAAAAATCTTAATAGCATCAATCATTACGTCTGAAAATGTTCCTTTGTAAACCGAACCTGAAAATGTTCCTTTGTCAATCATATTCTCTTCACCAAATTTATTTGTAGCATTTAGCACTTCATAATATGAAATCCTCTTGATAGTGAAGGGGGGAGTAGACTGAGCTGGAAGAAGTGTATTTCTGCAAGGGCGTCTTATTAAATAAACGACAATAATGGCCAGACTCAATACGCCAGCAATTGATGGTAAAATGTACTTCAAAAATCTGGTATTGCTTGATAATCGAGTTGTATTACATGACTCAACCTTAAATTGAGATGCTCCACACAATTCTCCGTTGCCAATGAAAAAATCAAAGGTAAAGTTCTTCAAAAGCGCTCCATTTGGAATTTCACCGGTCAGTTCATTGAACGAAACATTGAAATACTCAAGGTCCTCAAGTTTCTCCAATGACACCATCGAGTTTGTTCATGGATAAATCCAATATTTTCAATGAAATCAGATTACCAAACGAATCAGGTGTAGGACCATGTAATCGATTGTTTGATAATGTTAGATTTTCCAAACTTTGAAGTTGTCCTATTGTTCGAGGAATATTACCTGAGAATTGATTTCTTGATAGATATAACTCTCGCATGTTCTTCATGTTTCCAATTTCTGGAGCCAGCGACCCATTCAGCAAATCATTAGCTAAACTCAAAATCTAAATTTCCTTGTTAGTCCACATTGTGGATGGGATAGTGGAAGTGAATGAGTTGGAAGTTAAGTAAATTTCTCGTAAAGTGGTTAGATTTCCTAAACAAGTTGGTATCTGTTGAGAAAGCTTATTTGACTCCAAAGATACATAATACAGATTTTCCAAATTATAAAGGCCAGTAGGTATTGGTTCCCATAGTTTATTTTCAGGAAGACCCAGCACTTGCAATTTTCTTAATTGACCCAATGCGTCAGGAATTCTTCATTCAATTGATTGCCTCCAATGTCTAACCCGATCAAGTTGCTCAGATTACTAATTTCATTCGGAATGATACCTTTAATACCGCACTGACCGGCATAAAAAGTTTCAACAGATGCTGACAAATTGCCCAAGGTTTTTGGTAATATGCCATCAAAATAATTGTTTCCCAATTGTATGTTCTTCAGCTTTCTACAATTTTTCAATGAAATCAGAAAATTCAACTCGAGCATTGAAGGGTCATTTGTCAACTGATTATACCCAAAACTTAGAAACTGTAGGTTATGTAAATTTCCAAGATTCACGGGTACTCGTCCACTAAAGGAGTTGAAACCAAGATCCAAATGAATAAGCTTAGAAAATTTTGAAATAGAGACAGGAATTTCTCCATTCAATTGATTGCCATCAAGAAAGAGAGCTTCGAGATCAGGAGGCCCATTGGCAATTGACGATGGAAGATTGCCAAAGAAACTATTATTAGGAAAAGAAAGATCTCGTAATTTGGAGAGATTGAAGATGGAATCAGG